CGGATGACCATATTTCACTACTTTGACTCTTTATATCTTGGGAAATATTGCCTTTTGGGACTTGGTGCAATATAACATAGTGAAATTTCAGCCAATTTGACCGAAAACCATTTTCCATAGGTTTTGTGCGGGGTCCTTTATCATTTATATTCATATTATATTCATATTCGCTTGAAATAAATCCGTATATGTATAAATTTTCTTTATCACGTAAAGTCGTTGTTTCATACTACACAAATAACGCGTAAATGCTTTAATGAAGGAAGAATATACGGGTAGCGTTGTACGGCTCGTTTTATTTCCTCTAAAAAAATTGGTCTAAAAAATATGACATATATTTTCTCTCTAAACTCGTTACGATTTCTATTCTTGTAGAGCGCGTTTCCAATTTCAACGCCTTTAGCGTTATACTGTTATTCATCGACAATTATACGACGGTTATAAAGTTATAATAATATCGAAAGTGTTTCACTATAAATTCAACTGCGCGGTTTCGTCAATAACAAGAGCAAGAAACACATATATCACGCGTTATTGCTTACACATATCTTTTTTACACGCTGTATAAATATTCTAAGTTTTTTATACGCTGTACAAATTGCTTAAATATAGTAATATCTACATATATGTAATATGTATATATTTTTTTTCGAATTTAAATATACCGATTGTATTGATATATTTGCATTTTTTGTCCTGTTATGATTTGTTTTTATCGTTTTAAATTAACTTTCTTATTTTATGTAAGTAACGAATAATCAACGAATAATCAACAAACCGATAATAAAAAAATAAAAATAAATTAAAGATAAATTATTTTTTAATTTTTCGTTTATAAAAGAAAGCTGATCAAATATTACGTATTTGAAACAAATTCTCTATTTATTAAATTATTAATTTGTTTCCGCGTTGAGTAATTCTAATAGATTCTTGATATAAAATTTGCAAAATTTCGGAATTGAGAACAGTTTTACTCTATCCCTTAGATAATAATAGTAGAATTTAACATCAAGTAAAATATATCATTTTTATAAGATTTGACTGGTGATTTTTTCAGACATATCAAAGTAAATAATAGCTTCTTTAAAATATTTCGAAAAGACAGGAAATATTCTAAGTTTTTTACAGACACAGTAAAACACAACCTAATATCATAAATAAATAAATATTATTAATAGGATTAGCAATAGATGTCTTTTTCATATATAGATATTCATATATATACAGAATATCTCTTATACACCAATTATTTCGTAAATTTTCGCATTTTTACACGCGTCTCGAAACTGTGTAATAATTACATAATATACGACAATTTAATATATATTCACATGCAACTAAATAGAATATTCCTCTGGTCGTATTAGAACACGCAAGTTCGATAGCGTATATGACGTATCGCCCCGCGAAAGAGAAGTGTCAAGTCCACGAGGTTGCGCGAAACTCGATGCGCGTTGAACGGTTAGTAAGTTCCGATAGAGCGCGGGACGTCTACTGAGGCAGCACATGGGCGACGGACCACGTGCGTCGCCATAAAACTGTTGCAAAAACATTGGCCTTCGCTCGAAAATACATATGAGCACGTGATAACGCGTCTCGATTTAAATTCTATCTCTCGCCGCGGTCAATCCGGGATGAGTAATACATTTTGGATGCAAAATTAGACACAAAGAGAAAAACGATCGTCATCGTCGTCATCGTCGTTGTTGTCGTCATTGGTCCAATTTCGCATTTTTTGTCGCATCATTTTTTTATCCGTATTCTATTTTCGTCCCGGCATAGACATACGTACGTCCGTATCGCGTCCGAACTTTTTAATATCTTCCGCGATTTCTAGTTTCCGATATGTGAGGTCACAGCATCGTCACCCCGAAATTTGTCGCAAAAACATGCGTCACGGATAATTCGAGTACTATACAGGGCGCGTGTAAAAAAAAATATCGATTTTTTTTTTTAAATACGTGAGACAATCGATTCCTCTCAAAATGCGAATCGACGAATTCGATTGTCGTGGAGAGAACGTTTGAGAATATCTTGAAAGAAATAATACTGTAAAATTAAATAAAATTGATCACGCTCAAGCTACAAATTTTGGAGCACGATTTGCTTATGATCACTATCCTTTCGTTTCGATTTCAGACCGATTGACGAGGACGTAGTCTCTCTCCGGCGGGTCGGTCGAAAACACGCCAGTTACAAGCTGTAAAAGGGATTTGCTGGTCCTTAAAGGCCTTCTTTCTTGAAGACGTCGACGTGCAGCCTCAGATTCGTGCACTTTCTGTGGTACATTCAATCCACGGGATCCACGTGTCATTGAAAAATCGTAGCCTCGCTTCCCTACGCACGATACTCTAACTTCTTGCAGATGTCTTCTTTCTTTCATTCAACCATTCGTGCTTTCTTCCGCTTCCTCTCCCACTCTTTTCTCTCTCATTCTCTCCCCCTCTCTCGCTCTATCTCCGTTCTCTCCCACTTTCTTTCTTTCTCTCTCTCGCTCTTTCTCTCTATTAAAGGTGTCACTTTGCCCCACGCAAATTTCAATTCTCTCTGATATATGCGCAAAAATTTCATGAAAAAAAAACTACAATAAAAATTGTATTTTGCTCGTCAATATGCCTCGAACGGCATGTTCATGCTTCGATGGCAACAAATCTACAGACAAAGTTGTCTGCATAATGTAAGTAAAAAAAGAATAAGCCTGCTGTCCTCGTTAAAATCAATTACTCATTTCGAGGGACGCAAATTTAAAGAGAGAACAATGATTAATTTTTAACTATAATTTTCTTTTTATCAAATTACTTATAGTCGGCATTTTTACATTAGAAAAAATTATCACCGAGAGGATGGAAATCTGGATGGGCCTATGGTATACGATTATTATTGTTTTCGTCTTGAAAGCATTTCATTACGAGCAAGTATGCAGTATGTAGCAGAAACCCAAGAGTTAAATATTCCAGATTTCTGATAAAATTTATTTAAAATGTTTAAATAGGGTGTACATATATAAAGAGGGGAGAAGTATTGGACAGACAAGACTTTGTGTTTTGTTGCCTTACCTAGTTAGAGATTAGAACTATCCCTGTGTGATGGCTCGATATCGATGCGTCACTCTCTCACACCATATGTATCGGTGTGGACACTTCTCTCTCTCTCTCTTTCTCTCTCTCTCTCTCTCTCTTTCTCTAATGCGATTTTTCGGAAAAAGTTACTGGTCTCCCGGATCGCGTCTGTATGTATACTTATATATGTATACATGCATATGTCTCACAAAAATAACACGGAATTGGAAAATCACGCGCGGATTTTCGCATTATAAATGAATATACTTTATCGAAGATTACCTGCTGAATCTTCTTATTATATGAAAAATGTTTGTAGCGGAGTGTTCCGATCCGATAATGTTCTTTGCTCTTCGTTCTTCGTTAATGAGATGTGCTAATTTTCGACGATCCGCATGAAATCCGCTAATTTTCCCATGCAGCAACGACAGTTACATCAGCTTATTATATCTTCTACAAGACATTAATAATTTTTGGGGAAAATAGAAAGGGTATAACTATTAAAAGGTATTATGCTAGGGAGATCTGGAAGAAATAATAAGTTAAAAATATCATAAATAAATAAAGGTCCGACGTGGAGAACCATAATACCAAAATTGACGATTAGAAAGAAATTGTCGCCAATATTCGCAATATGCAAAAACATCGTATATTATATACTGGAGCTGCTTGCGCTTCTCTTGGTACCATCCACCTGCAAACTCAATATTACAGAGTTAGTAATAGTACATATGTAATGCAGCGTGCTAATGTATAAAGTTAAGCAGTCAATCTTTGATATCATTGATAAAACTTGGTGAATATATATTCTTTCAGCATACAATGTGTATGCTGAAAGATAATATACAACAGAAAAATTATATCATTACAAACTGCAAAAAATGAAAAAAGAAAAATATTTTACACACATACACACACACACGCACGCACGCGCGCGCGCACACACACACACACACACACAGCAGCAGCAGACAGATATGTGTACATATGTAAAAAATTATAATAAAAGCAATGTATTACTTTTTCTTTGAAATAGTTATAACAAAATTTGCAAATTAATTTTCAAATGTGTAATTAGTATATTATAAATGATCAAAAATTATACTTTACGATAAGAACAAAATTGTACATAAATATCGATAATGTATCATAAAAATAAATCCATTTAATAGTTACAAAAAGATAGTTTATCAATTAAAATAAAACGAAAATTGATATGTAACATTTGTATATAACAAAACAATAAATTATATATTACATACTGTTTCTACTATATATCTCTTTTTTTAGTACTCTATTTACATGTTTTTGTAAATACATCTATGTAGTCTTTTTTATAAAATATAGTTCATCATAGAAATGTTTTCAAGCTGTTATCTGTATTTTATTCATCAAGTTCCACATTAGATAAAATTTGATGCAAGCTAATATGTTCCTAGTTTTCTAATTGTCTCTAATCCTGAATAATCCTTATACTTTTTGAAATTTACAGACTGCTTTAACTATGAACACTAGCGATAGTTATTCTTAAATTAATGTAAAAGTAATATTATCTCTATACAAAAGAAATATTGTGATAGAAGTATATTAATAAAAAAGTTTTATATAATAGGATACCACAATATACTTACGTTTTGGTTTTGGTGGTATCAGCTTAATCCCGCCTTTCTTCTCGTCTGCCGGTGACGTCGGCGAATCCAGCGACAGCTTCGCGCGTTTCTCCACAAGCGGGACGGTATCTCTTAGCGGCGATGACCTCTTCAAAATGGATATTTTTTGAGGTATAACTTTCTTGTCAACGACAGAATTCGGCTTCTTTGACCTCGGGGGCGGTGGCTTTACCTCTTCTTCCAAACCCGTGGATCGGAATTTCGAGTTGAATGTCTTCACTGTTTTCGGCCGCGTTATCGAGTCTTGATTGTTCTTTCTGCTCTCGATAGATATCGATATATTCTTCTTTTCAGGCAATGTAGCGACTTTCTTCGAAGAGTCCGTCGTCTTCTCTTTATTCTCTTTCGAGCTATCCCGCGAATCAGTCGAAGATTTCCTCCCGTTCGTGTCATTTGACTTTTCGTCCTCCGATCGTTTCTTCGGTATTTTACCCAATTTAGAACTCAATGCCTGACCCTGCACCTTCTCCAAAGTTGCTTTATCCTTTTCCGCCTGGTCCTTTTTCTGTTTCTCTTTCTCTCGTTCTTTGTCTCGCTCAGATTTACTCCTACTCGAACTGTGCTTACTAGACGAACTAGAGTGATGTTTATCTTTGTCCTTGGAAGACCTATCCTTGCTAGAGCCGGAACTTTTCGAACTACTACTACTGGAACCTGAGCGGTGACTACCAGACTTGTGAGAGCTGGTACGATGAGCACCGGAACTCGAACTGTGCTTAGAACTTTTGGACGATGAAGACGATGAGCCATGATGATGGCTACTACTTTTTTTGTCAGAGCTGCTGTTGGGTTTTTTCTCATCCTTTTTATGAGAGTCTCTATTCTCCTTATCACTAGACTTACTGCTATCACTATTAACAATGTCCTTAGAGTCCTTATTGTCTTTGTCCTTAACACTATCGACGTCGTGATTATCCTTAGAACTAACTACAGTCTGTTTCACTTCACTGGGAACGTGTTCCGAATTGTGCGACTGTCTCGTTTCTACCGCGTCGTCCTGACCACTAGTAGTACTAGCACTATCACTTTGTCGCGTTTTCTCCTCCAATTCCTCAGACTCCGCTTTTTTCACCTCCTGCTTCACAGAAAGTCCAGTCACATCCGAAACATTTCCGTTAACCTCTATACCAGTAGTACCAGATGTATTTAGAACGCTATTTATATTTGCGGGATCCGTCTCTACTTTCGCGAGGACTTGATTACCATCGCGAATGGTGATCTTATAAACAGGGACCGAGGATTGCGAAGATACAACAACAAAGGATTGCTTTTTGCTTTGTTGCGTCGGCTGTTGCTGTATCTGCGCTTGCTGGGCTTTCCCGACGACTTGTAGCTGCACCGTTTGTGACTGTAGCCTCTCTTGTTGATGATGTTCTTGATCTTGTTGGCTTTGACTTGTTGTGGTGTTTCCGGTAAACTGCTGCGCGAGCTTCAAGTCCTGCACATGGACAGTTGCGCTCTCGATAGCATCTGCGTTTTGTTGCGTGCCAGAATAATGCTGCTGTTGTTGTGACGAAAGAGCGACTGTGTTTTGTCCTCCGGCTGTACTTGTCTGGACCGGAACTGTCATAATTTGAGCAGGTACCGAGTTCGGTGCCGCCTCTCCCTTTACGATTTTTAGCCATTGCTCCACCAGTCGGCTGGCCAATACTCGTACTCCTTGGTGGCTACCTTCTTTCGACAAACCCTTGATTAACTTCGGAGAATTATTGCTTTTTAGCCGTTCGATATCCACTGGGCAGAGTAACATAAGTTCCAGTAATTCCTGGATGAGGGCCCAATTTTTGGCAAGAATGCCATCTGTGAGCCACGTGTGAATCAAATTCCATCCTCCAGCAGTCATAAATCTGGATAGTTGGAAATTATAATCAAATTATAATGTAAAGCACTGCATTATATATTATATCATGTAATATTAAGCCATGTAATATTAAGCCAGCGGCACACATTCATCCATCTTCAGAAATGCACCAATTAAAACAGAATATTTCCATCCAATCAATCCAAGCAATCCAGCATGAAAACAAGCATTGTGTCGTTGGCTTTAGGCTTAGTCTACAGTATGCGGAATAAGCCGTAAAAATTGGCTAATCATAGCCGATTATTCTTGCAATAATTATGATTGACCAATTCTTACAGCTTACTCTGTATATTGTAAACCAAGCTTTATATTTCCTACTGCTCTCTCTATTTCCCTTTCTAAACCTCTTAGTAATTCCACACATATAAGAAACTTAATATTACAAATATTATATAATATCCAAGAAAATCTCAAAATTAAGTTCCAAAATCATCTTCATGCAGAAATACAAAGATTAATTTTAGAGATTAAAGCTTATAATGATCATTAATAATGAGAAAATAATTATATGTTTTTATAATATTGTACTACTACTTGTTTAAAAAGTTAAATTTTTTATACAAATTCAATAAATTATATTTGATAACTTGTATTTTCTTTTTCCCATTAATTAGCTTATAAATTCTAAATGTAAGACTTATATCAGTAAAAACGGCACATTGAGAAGCACCGTCTAATGGTTCCAAGACTTTTTATTTTCTCTTGCATGTTTTGTTTACTTCACACAAATATATAAAAGTACATATACTTGTGTATTTCTACATGCTAAATAACACGTTTAAAAAAGCTTTAGAATGACAAGAGTATTAAGAAAGATTGGATTGAAAATTGAATTTTTAGATGAAATTTCTCCACTACTTGTATCATTAAGTTCTAATCAGGTTCTACATATGCATTGACATTTATTCACTAAATTTAAACAAAACTTACTGACTGAGCAAATCCGTATTTGTGGTTTTTAATATTTGTATATAAATGCATTTTGAAACAAGTTTCTTGGAAAACTTTGTCATTAGGTTAGCTAATCGATGAACTTCTTCTTTACTTTTTATCCCTCCTGTTGGGCCCAATAAAACACTGAGACATCTGAGTAAGGATAAAGGATCTATGCGTGGCTGAAAAGATAGATGAAGAAATATTCTTAATATAATCACTACATAGGAACAATATTTTTTTGCAACTTTAGAATTCAATAAAGAGGTTACAACGAAAAAAAAACACGAACTTTACTATATCTTATATAACCATATTAGATTTTAATTCACATAACAACTAATTAATTCTAAAGTTAACAAGTATATTTTGTTTATATGGTGATCATGATTTATATAACTTTATGGTACAACAATTTTATGATATATAATTTAACACATATTTTAAATATCATCCATTTAATCTCACATGTTTGATTACTTGAATATTTTATTTGAAATATTCAGGAATATGATTTTGTATCAACAATAATTTATATCAACAATACTAATATCAAAAAAGATATTGTATTAAATTTTTTTGAGCTAAAATATAAAATATAAATAGAATTCAGTTTACCATTAGATAAAAAATGTTTTGACATATTCATACATATTATCGGAAACTATTTTTCTATACGTGTTTAAAAGATTATTTCTTGTAAATATTAATAAAAAGTGATATTCCATCACGCGTAATTATTGTAAGGATTGTGCGCTGAATTAAAATTCATAGAATCAATACAATTTACATTAGTCCCGCGTGCAATATCAGTAAGCCGAGTATTAGAACGAATACTGGAAATTACACGATTTTCGTAACAGCAAAAATAGAGCACGAGGTCAAGGAAAATGTAAAGGTTATTGATCCCTCGCTACCGCCAAATACTTAGATGGCGCCGCAGCTTCTAGATTATATACCTAAGAAAGCGACCACGTTCTAATAAAATAATCGTACTACTCACCATTTTGCTGATAGTTACGATGTTTCAACACATTCTGCGTACCAAATATAAAAGCACCGCACGTATCTGCAAAGAGACATGAAATATTTGACTATTACGTAGTGCGGCATTACGACCGATGCGCTTTTCACGCCATATTGTCGAACAGGTCTAATGGTTGGGCACGCCGAAAGAGATCGATAGAAAAACGAGTGATTGTCTTTCCCCTAACGCCTTGACTTGCGTCCTTCGATCGCGCATTTAATCGCAATTCTATGATCCTTGACGAGATCTAACCCAACCCGCGCGAATCTCTGCGAGCCGTAGCGTGCAATATCGAAGACAAATGGATATCAAATGACCCAAATTACTCTCTAAGGAATTTTGCATACCAAGCTTATCCTGCTACGTGGACTACAATTACGCAAATAATCATTCTGTTTCTAAGACGAACGACGCTTAAAGCGGAAGATCGGGGCGGGCCGCGTTCGTTAGAGAGTGCTCAAAAATACGAGCAAAGGTATGAGAATTTCTCGGTTACGACCAACAATACCGCTCCTTACTGGTCAGACTAGCGGAACACGGCAACCGTCGCGCAACGACAACGCGCACGTCTCATCCATCCGCCTCATATCATCGACCAATCGGAACTACGAACGCTCCTCGGCGTAGACCAATAACGGTCGCGTACCCCCACCCAACGCGCTTTCGTCTTCCGTTGTGTGACGTAGCTTCGTTCTATTTATGTACAATGTCGTAAAATTCGTAAATTTCACCTATCGCATTTGAACCTTTAAACCAACACTTTTCTTTCTTTTCCAGCACTTGTTCGATAAACTCTTTTACTTCTCTTGATATCCGATTGGCACTTCTACGGATCAATTGCTCTCTTGCTCTTTACTGCGAACTACGACTCACGCGGAATCATTAATTCACGTATCGAGTTACGTCACTATAAACCTCAAAATTACCCACTTAGATGTACAAATATACACGCCTTTTCCTCGATATCACGTCGAGTTGCTTAAAAACCATGGACTCGAGCCTTCTTAAGGATACTTTTAAGAAATAGAAGTTAGGACTTCCTTGATCTTGACAGCTCACAGAAAATCAATTACTGTTACGTTTTCGTCGAGGACTTGCAATTTTCCTCTTGTATTTTTTGTTTGTTGGAAAATAGGAAAGCCACTCACATCTGATTAAAATTAAATCCTTTTTATGGAAAACAAATGTTCACTGTGGTGCATAAGAAATGGAACATTTCCTACACATGACAATGACGTGGCGCTACAGCTTGTTCGTTCGATGGATTCCTACTGCTGCGCATCGAGAAACGTTACGAGAGTTCCTTTTGTAATCCGTACTTATTTTGCCGTTGATTTGTCATCTGCAATGAAACGTCGTTTAGAAACGATCGCCGCTACTGTTCAGTCTGTTCTCTTCTAATATTTCGCTCTATCGTTATACGAATTATTCTTTTAACTTGTATGAAATAATGCTTACCCTAACTAAGTAAAATCTGCTCCACGTATGAAAACGGAAATGTTCACATGGTTACGTCTCGTAACTCCACTACGAGAGTCAAAAGTGGTACCAACCTCAAGTATTATGGAGAATTCACATGATGATCACAGTAGGGTTGGGACATTTGACAAATTCTAGGATTTCTGGTTAGACGACAGTTTCCCGAAAAGTGGAGGAGATAATGTTGGTACCAAAGAAAATCTCTACACGACATAATTTAAAGATTTTATTCTTGAAATTTTATAGTATGATTAAACTTGCGCAGTAAAACTTAGGGTGCCGTCCCATTGAGCACGGATCGGAACGCCGGATCGGATTTCTTACTATAATGAGCGTTCCGTTCTCTAGTTCCGTTCCGTGCTCAATGGGACGGCACCCTTACGTATACGCAACTATTTAACTATTCAAGAACAACTATTCAAGAATAGGGACCTTGTTCTTTGTAACTGCACTGCTGAACTAATGCAAAAAGTTAGAGTGAGAAAGCGTATACTTGCCTCACTTCAATTTATTGCACCAGTTACAGTGCAGTTACAAAAAACAGATCTTTAAATTATATCGTGTAGAGATTTTCCTTGGTACCAACATTATCTCCTCCACTATTCGGAAAATTGTCGCCTAATCGGATTTCTTATGGCTCCTGCATACAAGACGCGGTAATGCTTGCCGCGTGGCGAAAGTCCGCGAAACAGCCAATCAATATGTTGTTTTTCTGTAAGAGCTAAAATTATTACGGAAAGCAGCATATTGATTGTCGCACGAACTTCCGCCGCGCGGTAAGCATTACCGCGTTCTGTGTGCAGGAGCCATAACTTTGGATTGTCATGAATCATATAATAGTAGTAGATGGTGATGTCTGTAACTTATTTCTGTTCTAGGGAAATGACTCGGAGAGGTATTATCGGAAACACCCTATATTTCACCAATTACACGATTTTTTAATATTTAATTAAAATTATCTGGATGACTCACAAACCTTTTTAATGATACTTTATAACTCTTCATATAAAATACAAACAATACCATACCGGAACTTTGTTTAATTTACCTCCGGCTATTATTTCGATTAAATGCATGGTCCAAAAATGAACAATTAATTACAATTAATAGAACGACTCACAAACCTTTTCAATTGCACTTCAAAACTCTTTATACGAAATACATACGATTTAAAAGAATAGTTTTCCAACCGGCGATTTTTTTCGGTCAAGTACATACGAATGAGAAGTCTATGGGTGCTTTCCAGTTGCATACGCTGTGTTACACAAAACCAGCTTATTGGTTATATATTATCTTACAAGATATTTTAGATAATATGTGACCAATAAACTGGTTTTGTATACGTGTGTGTCAAGATGTGTCAAGCAATTGGAAAGCACCCCCTGTTTCCTCTGTTATACTTGGGTGCGTTCAGCGAACTCAACAGTTGCACAACAGTTGAGCAATTCGTCTATGTAATTGGTCTAGATTTCGGACTATCGCACACAAATTGACATAACTGCATATGCATAGCATAAGATCGTATGGACCAATGAGCATCGAATATTAAGCATCGAACACCAATATGGCGACTTAATACTCGATGCTCATTGGTACATACGGTCTTATGCTATGCATATGCAGTTATGTCAATTGTGTGCGATAGCCCTAAGAACCAATAATTGCTGATTGATCACTGAACGTTTTTTTCACTGAACGCGCCCCTTGTCTGATTCATAGTATAACAGAAGAAACAGGGACTTCTCTCTCATCCCGCAGTTTTCACGAGGTAGCGCGCGTTCCAAGTAATATATATTTCAGTGCTTGTAAATGACATAATTATAAATAATATACCGATTTTCTCCTTGTGTGAGTAATACTAACTCCGTAATTAAAGTTCAGAAACTTAAATTTATTCGAATTTAATTTGTATCATAATTATTACTGTTAGGTATTTAAGATTATTTAATCCATGTATGCGATTGAGCATGATTACACATATTTGTACAAAATAGCACGTAATTGTATATCGTTTAAGTTGACAATTGTTTTCGCAGTTATTTCACCAAACATGTCAATCTTAAACACGTTGCATCGAGTGAGATCGTTAGTACAAGCGAGTTTATTTCATAAAGTAAGTTCGCGAAATAGTAAGATGTGTGTATAACAGTCTCTGTAGGAGTAAATTGTTTGCAGCTCAATCCAGTGAGATCTATCACGTATTCGCTTGTACGTTTTTCGGAAAATTTAGAAGAGAACACCGCTGAAAACACAAGCACGGTTGTAAATACTGCACCCGAAACCAAGCATACACGAATTTCGATAGAAACAAGCATCAAGTATATGACAAGTGATGGTAAATAATTGTTGATAGACTAATGTGATACGATTATTTAATAAATAAAATCATTGCAAAATCTAGCTTACAAGCAGACTTATGGAGACAACTTAGTATGGAAATTATATAGAAGAAATCATAAAGGAGCAATTCCTCCTAAGAAAACACGAAAAACTTGTATAGTAAGTATACAAATTTATATATATCTTATGTAAGGTTTTCAATAACACTCTGTAAAATTTAGAGAGCTGGTCAAGTCTGTGGGAATCCTTGTCCTATATGTAGAGACGAATATCTTAGATTGGATTATAGAAACGTCAAGTTACTTGAACAGTTTATCAATTCATATAATGGAGATATTCTAAGTTATATGTAAGTATAATGTACAAATTTTGTTTCTTTAATATTTTCATGGTCCTTATTTGTGCTATATAAGTATTTGCATGCTCTGATCTATATTGTATATAAATTCTTTTAAATATAGGAAGACAGGTATCTGCCAAAAAAAATATAAAGAACTTTTAGTTGCTATAACTAAAGCTAAAGATTACGGTACCATTATATTTGATGTTCCTGTAAGGCAGTATGATTATTCAGAGTGGCAAACAACAAAGAATTAATCTTTTATAATTAGTTATTATTTCCCCTGTTAATTATGGATGTAACTGAGAACCATATGGAAGAAATGGAATGCACATTTGCTGTAGTAGGAGGCGGGATTGCTGGAGTATCATGTGCTGAAGGATTAAGCTTCCTTAATCCAGAGGAGAGCATAATTTTGATCACTGCTAGCCCTTTGGTGAAAGCTGTAACAAATATAGTTCCGCTTGGCAGAACTTTAATGCATTTTGACATAGAGGAAAAAAGCGCTGTAACTTTGGGTGAAAGATACAAGATGTTGCAAGTTATTCAGGATACTGTGATCAAGGTTGATACAACCAAGAAGCTGATAGAAACTTGCAGCGGAAAAGTCATAAACTTCAAGATGCTCTGTCTTTGTACTGGTGCAAAACCTAAATTGATAGCAGAAAATAACGATTTTGTCGTAGGTATTCGTGACACAGAATCCGTAACACAGTTCTCCCACAAACTGAGAAATGCCAGAAGAGTTATGATTATCGGCAACGGAGGAATCGCAACCGAGATCGTATACGAGATGAAAGGTGTCGAGATAATTTGGGTTATCAAAGATAAACATATTTCCGCAACTTTTGTCGATCCCGGAGCCGCCGAATTCTTCTTAAACAAGATATCCAAGTTCAATACATCAGAAAACTTTAGTAAGGATGCGCCAACCAAGAGAATGAGATACGTAATATCAGGTGGTATACCGATTAAAAATGGAGCCGCTCTTGGCCCAGACTGGCAAAGCAGTTTCAACATGAGTGGCACGCTTTCCAAATCCACAAACGTGCGTGTTGAATATGAATGTGAAGTATCAAGACTGTTTACTCCCGACGAACAGAAGCAACTTGATTCTACGGAAGAATGGCCGATCTACGCGCAACTGACGAACGGCAAAATTATCGGGTGCGATCTTATTATTTCGGCAACAGGTGTCATCCCAAACTCTGGCATATGCGGATTGGAAAATGTCGAGAGAGGTGAGGACACTGGACTATTAGTAGATTGGAAATTGGAAACTTCGCAGAAGGATATCTACGCTGCCGGAGATGTATGCACTGCAAATTGGCCGATAGCAAAGCACTGGTTTCAAATGCGGCTCTGGACGCAGGCTCATCAGATGGGTCGTTACGCCGCGAAGTCAATGGTTTCGCGTCTAAAAGGTGAAGATTTCCTACAAGACTTCTGTTTCGAACTCTTCACTCACGTGACTAAATTCTTCAATTATAAAGTTGTTTTACTCGGTCTGTACAATGGGCAGACTTTGGGAAAGGATTACGAGATACTTTTACGAATCACCAAAGACCAAGAATATGTCAAAATTATCTTACAAGATGGCAAAATGCAGGGTGCAGTACTCATTGGAGAAACGGACTTGGAGGAAATGTGCGAAAATTTGATACTTAATCAGTTGGACTTGAGTATATATGGGGAGGAACTGTTGAATCCTGATATCGACATTGAAGATTATTTCGATTGATAAAATATTTTTTTTTAGTAATGTGCATTCAATTTTAAATTTTCGTAAATTTTGCGTAAATTTCGCTGTACTAAATGTTTACAATAAAATTTAATTTAATACTATATACTATGTGTCAATTTTTTTATTTGGCCTATAAAGATTTATTGTCACTTATAACACACAGATACAAATAACTTTACAAAATTCAAATTTTGCAGTCTTGTGAACATAAATTTGATATGGTTCTATAGAAAATAAAAAATTAAGTTCTAACATTTGAATTGAAGGATTTAAAGATCTTGCATTCATAACGAAACTTAGCATGTGCAATAATGTTAAAATAATGTACCGTGTTAACGGAGTTTACATACACAATGTACAATCCATATTTTATAAATTATATTATGAATTCTTCTTTAATTCACTGCTAAACGTATATCGTGTGCATTTCTAGTCTAAAATTTTTACTACTGAGCCTCTTAATCAATTTACCAATAGAATTTTGATAAAATCTAAATAAAAAGAAGAAATAAAACAAGCAAAAATATAAAATAATGCAAAGGCATGTTTTAAGAAATGTTTTAAAACATTGTTTATGTTGACCTCAGATTTTGATATTAAATAAAACGAGACCTGTCATAAAGTTCCTTTTACATAATTACCAGTTGTTATTTTGAAAATTAAGCTTATTGAAATGAGATACCAGTTTTCGATTTAAAATACATTAAAATGTGTAAATTAATGGAATGCTTGGTAAAATTCTGCTTACATCTATGATATGATACGTACGTTATAATATTATTACGATACTGTTTTATATATACTTGCGAAATGTGTTTTGATAGCGATGTTTAAAAACAATAACTAAACTAAGTAACTATCTTCTCTTTGTTTTAAGTTCACTGATGTCTCGTTTTATCGAACTTCACTTTTTTTGGGTATCTAACACAGTGCACTTTTGCATCTAACATAGTGCTATTTTGCAAGCTAGATTTCGTCAGCGATGTATTTTGACTTTTAACATCGTCCTTCGTTTTACTTATCTCATTCGGATTGGCGTTGTCTGCCGAATTTGTATTTTTTTCTTTGCATTCGATTAGATTTTCCTTCTGGGAGATATTTTTTATGTCATTCGTCATATTAATGACAGTGTCATTGGCGCTGCTTATCGAGATTGTGCTCATGTCTTTGCACTCACTAAGGTCTTTATTTTGTAAGACGTTTTTTAAAATTTCGACAACATCCTGCATTTTAATTAGAGACTCGACAATCGGTTTAGTATTATATGTTTGGTACTGATGACACAGCTTGTTCAACGTTTTCGTCGCCACTTCTATTTGAGTAAGGCATGCATTTATGTCATCCTGTTGATTGTGCGATGTTATGATAGATGTTTGATCATGCAATGTTGCCTCTAACATAGATCCGTCCATAGAAAATTGATGAACACTCTCATTCAGCTGCTTCTTCACAGGTGCTATATTTATTGAAATTCGACTGCTGTTCAAAGAGTCCTCGAAAACTTCTGTTTCGTTATAGGGTTCCCAGTTGCAATCAAAATCTCGCAGTTCCTTCATCGAATCTTCAATGTCACAGTTCCTCAAGCGATGAATCCAATTCAGAAAGTCTATCGGTTGCAAAAATGTTTCCATCGTTTGTGTTTTATCGCGAACACGCACTACCGGTTGCAATTTCTTTTTTACTATTATTTGTTGTTGATCGAATTCCTAGAAGGAAACAAATTATTAAAATCCAAAAAGAAACAACGCTATCTATACAATTTGTTATTATTAAAAAAATCATTATTCGTTTCTTCAATTTTTCGTTATAGAAATTATAAAATTTGCAAATTTTATAACTTTAAAATCTAAAGATGTATTATTTTGAAATTCTGTGATCCTTATAGTTTTTTACATTTTTTATAATTGAAAATTAAAGAGGCAAAGAATGACTTTCATCCAAAAGATATAAATATAATCACTATGTAAACATAATTTATTATTATTGTATATACGATTATGTAAATTATAATTGTGTATTGTACTGAAATGTGCGAATGTGTGCAATCTATGAGATAACTTACGAAACCGAATCCGACTTCTTTGCAACGCTGAGTCGCTTCTTTGACAAGTATTTGCATTTCGTGCAAACTAACTCCACCGGCGTTCATAGCATCCTTACTGAGCTTCATCTTAAGTGCGCTTTCGATATCCGCCGTTTTCTCGTTCAGAATATTCTCCAATTCTTGCAAAAAGTTCGACTTATATGGTGATAGTTTCGTGTGGTGACTCTGCTCTAATTGTATTTTCTTGATTCTGTTATTTGTTTCTACTTCTGTGACGAGTAGTTCTTTCTCTAATTCCAATTCTTTTTTTCTTTTATTAATCTGTTCGAGCACGTGCTTTTGCTCCTCTAAAGTCGAGCCAAGGACTTCAATCTTACGTTCATACGTTGATTTTTGCGAGCCAAGCTGCAATTCCACTTCCCGCTTGGCGTTTTCCAGCTCCTTTATCGCTTTTTGTTTCGATTCTTCTAGTTCTGCTCTTAATCTATGCGGAGAAAATTATAAAATAAATATAGCAAAGTATGTAATAAATAACTGTTTTTGCTTTATAAGTAATGTATATTTATAAGTAAGATATGTACTTCTCTTCTTGTATTCGAAGAATTTCCTGATGTGCAAATTCAAAGTCTATTGCCTGTGCGGAAAGCTGAACGTTGCATGGTTCGTCGTACGGGTTTAGAACTTTAAAATAATGATTACCGCCGATAACTAAGCGATCACCGTGTTTAAGTATGACTTTTCCAGTTACTATCTGAAACGTGACAAATGTTTTCAATAAGAATGTTGTATGCGCAAAAATTCAACTATTAACTTAAGATTAGTTTAGATTATTCGATTCGTATCTTGCTAGTAACAGACTAAAAATGATTCACATGCAGGACCAATAACAAATAACATTATCAATACCTGACCATTGACGTATGTATCACCGTCCATCTCGGGCGTCAAGACTAATTTTCCATCATTATTTTCGATGGAGCTGTGAACAAGAAGGTAGATATAACAGAACGAAGAGATGTTTACCATATATGTATATTATTGAGAAGTAAGAAAATGTTAGCCATATGTGCATATTAATAAGAACTGAAATATTCAGAAGAAAAAGTTATAATGATTGTATTAAGTTCGTCTCGATGAATATTGGACTTTCAAAAATTAATATATACATAAGCATAAATTATTATACAGATGTCACCATGTATTTCTACAATTCAAACATTGTTCATACATTTATAGGTTCTCTTTTTGTGCATTCCAACTTATTCCATAGAATGCATCCTGTACAATATAATGTGATGTTAATGGTAAAATTACGAAGTATAACTATAAATAAAATATATATAAATAATATATAAAGAAATATTCATGGAATTATAAGAAATACCAAAAATATACGTCACGTCTTTGCTAAACAACCAGAATAATTTTTCCACAGTTACAATTCATTTTAACTCGCTGCACAACAATGGTATCATTATACATGCATTAGTATTAGGAACGATTATTTCGACATAAAAAATAAAGAATGTTACATGTGGGTGCTGATAAGTAGAAATATGAGAATATTGCTAAATCGAATACACTTGATAAAAGAGAAAGGTCAGCAGCAATGCACTGCATACCGATATGTAGAAATATGAAACAGAATGATAGCACAGTTGAACACACTTGATAAAAGAGAAAACTCAGCATCGACGTTAACAAAATCTCTCTCTCTCTCTCTCTCTCTCTCTCTCTTTCTCTTTCGCTCACTCATGCAAGTTTTCCCAACCTGTTTAAGCATCATAAACATACACACACAATTTATGACTAACCAGTGCAGCTCCCTAACGAGAGGCCCGTCCAACATGATATCCAATTTTCTGCGGGGAGTTTCCGGTCCACTATTCCTACCGACATTGACCAGACCTGGAGGTAAAACATACAAAAGTGTGCCAGACAACATAGGATCGGCCGCAAGGTTTACGAGACAAGGATGTTTATCTCGCTCATGAAAATCGATCTCGATAGCAATTCCACAACGACGTAAGTATTTCAACTCCGTGCTCTTCTTCTCCTCGGCTTTCTGGAATTTTTCGCGCCAACTCCTGTAATTATATGTGACTAACCATTAAGTCTCACCTATTCGATGTACCTTAAAAAAATAAAGCTCATGAAACTTTTGTATAGATCAAATAACAAAATGATATAACAGGGTTCTGCGATTAACAATTAGCTCCGTTTTGCCAATATATATCAACATCCTAAAAATCAAATAAATTATTATGTCGAGACAAAAATAATTTAGCATTTACTGAGAATTATGTGTATATTCATGATTTATATCTATGTTTTAGATATCATATCCTATTAAAAATATAAAACGATCAAGATTCGTACGGAAACTTTATTTATAATCCTTTCTAACAATTAATAAGGAATAATCGAAATTAATATTTTATCAGAACTACTGTTAGATAGTTATTGATTCTTTTGGAATTATTTTCTTCAAGTACAGAAAGCGTCAATTTCTTTTCACTTACATCTGAGTCGTAGCCAGCTGTTCCTCCGTTTTCTTCAACTGATCCTTCAATTTATCGATCTCTTTTTGCTTTCGTTGAACTTCGCTGTCAGACTGGTGAATCGGTTCGATGCAATCGAGCAGTCGACGAGGTATAATTCCAAGTTGCTTCTCGTATCCTTCGCGTACTCCACGTAACCGTAGAACTTCAGCTTTCAATTCGCTATTATGAAAATCATATAATAAATACAGTCTATGCTTTGTAATTGTTTTTTTTAGTGCTCTATATTTATTAGACTATACAAATGATATCTTACCGTATTAATCGATCATGTGGATCTTCGTTGATACGAATTCTATTGACTATTGCTCTAGCTTGGCATGCGTATCGAAGAGTCGCTAAAGTCTCTTCTACGTGGATATTGGCTGGTGATATCGTTCCGAGCATCGCCGTTCGCGAATTTCCTCCCAGACTCTCCTGCAAAGAGATGATCTACGTTTGATAACTATTTATATTTATATTTATATAAGCACATCAAGTGCTATATATGCTAGTGCTATAAAATACTATATTGACGATATGTATTTATTTCATAATAATGTTCCACAATAATTTAATTTTTCAAGAAACATTTACACGTTTTATAAACGGTACATTATTAAAATATAAATAGAAACAAATGCGATAAATTTAACAAATACAAGAATATTCGCATGTAAACATTTTCGTACTTTAGCTTGTAATTTTCCAATCACATTAAATTTAATTTGTGGTGCTTCAAACACGCATATTTATATGCTTATGTACTTCATTACTGCTATTTTTAATTCCTATGCAATTTATATAAGTGGAAAAGCTGAAGTATTGTAGTAATAAACATGCTAAACATCGAAAGCAATAATATCGTATATAATCTAATCATTTACGAATTGTACCGTTACTTATTGATAACTATATTATCGTTACGTTATCATTCGTTGATCAATCATGAATGTCTCTTTAAACAACGTAAAGTGATGGATGATAAGATTTCAACGATTAGATTTTTCCTATATATTTCTTATTTTTTTCTCTGCTCCTCGAGATATTTTGCAGACTTAAATTCTAATCTATCGGAGTCCTATGTGTTTCACATCTCGCGACTCTTGACTCTAAAGTCTCGTAAATACATCTTATCGCATGCTACTTCATAATTAAAAGTCAGAAAGTTAATCTAAAAATTAAAAACATTAAAATTGCTCCTTCTCTTCTAATCATACGTACCCTCTTTAATCAAAGAAACTGTTTTTCCGGCGACCAAAACTTTTCCATCCACGTTAATATCATTCGCGATTTCTCGAGAAGAAATCGTAAAGAGGATTTTTTGTTTTTCACAAAAAGCTAAGGGAAAATCTATATCTTATTTATATTACTATATTACTTTGTTATTTTTGTCGTTAAGTTATTGTTTAACGAGTAATTCGAAATATTGGAAGTTGAGAGAAAATTTATCGCGATTAGCATATCGTCTACGTTTCTTTTTTTTGCGTGATTATCATCTAGAAATGATGTCAACGCACAAGTATTGAAATAATTTCGTAAATCTAATTTCCCGGCCTGTATTGTGTATGATAATTATATCACTTATATATATTGTAAAAGCAATTATTGAACGTGTCAATTATAAAGCTTTATTGTCATCAAGATAAAGCTTTATTGTCATCAAGATACATATACATCCAACGCGCGATTGTTATTTGCATATCGGCGGATCTTAATGAATATCTTGTTTTATTATATATACGAAGTATATGATACTGCGAAGATCGCAATTTGAAAAAAAAGATAAATATCTGCAAGACTGAATCAATGAATATTTTGTGCAAATAATCCAATTATATCGTATTCGAGTGTTGTAATTGTTTACATGTGATTATTGGGTGCGTTCAGCGGAAAAAGCGCTCAGTGAGCAATCAGCGATTATTAGTTCTTACTGTTAGATTCCTAAATCTAAACCAATTGACGAATTACTCAACTGTTGTGCAACTGTTGAGTTCGCTGAACGCATCCATTGTTTTCATTTACATACGAAAAGAGTTATGTATCTTCTGTAGAAAAGAATTGCGATAGCTGTAGGAAATACAGATTTCTTCATGCGTATATGCATGAAAAAAATATTGGTCCATATTCTGAACCTTCTTTTATCAATAAAAATGTCTTGAATATAGCTTCTCAACCAATCAGGTGGCTCCTAAGTCTCTTTTAGAGACACTTTTATAGATAAAAGAGGATTGAAAATATGGGCTATTGTGTGTAATGTACTTTTATAATACGATCATTAAATCTCGATCATTAAATTACCGTTTAAATTGCACTTACGCCTTATGCCGCTTATGCTGGGGACGTGCTTGAAATTCAAGTTGGAGGATATATTGTGTTGAAGTATCCGTATGTTGTTGATATTTCTAATCTTTTATCTTACGCCTTTTGCCTTAACCTTTAACCTGCGCGCGAAATGATCAAACTTTGGAATGTAGCGCTATCATCAAATGCCAAGATGCACCTGGAAGCTTATTACGGATTTCTGATTGGGACGAAAGTATGTAAGCAACTCGCTCGATTACAATTGATCTCACCTTGAAAATACGAGATTATTTGTGTGAACGGACTCGACACGAAATTTCATGGCGAAAAGGTGAAATCGAGAAGCAGTAACGGAAAGAACGAGTTTATTTCGTACAACGAAAAATTTAATGGTAGTATTAGTTATGGAGCATCGGGATAATGTAATACAGAGAATAAGAAGATTACGGGATGCCTCCTCAGACCCTCTTTTTACTTTTCTGTTATGTTTATTGTTCTCCCTCTGTATATTTTATAAAATTCATTTTATAAAAATTAACAAATTTTAAGTATATTTAACTTCATTTTTTCAATGTAGTATTACTCTCTTTTTCTCTCACAATACTGATTTATATTTGCAAATAAATAAATAAATAAATAAATATATATATACTATATTTGTATTTATATATATATATATATATATATATATTTATATATTTACATTTATATATATATATATATATTTATATATTTACATTTATATATATATATATATATTTATATATTTACATTTATATATTTATATTTATTTAT